TGTTAGGGCTATGAAGAAGGAAAAAAAAGGTCTCTCGTCAGTTGAGGAATTTACTGTCATACTCTCCATGGTTCCCACAAGTTTTACTGTTGTTTCTTCTATTTTTAAAATGCCTCATAATCTTTACAGTCTGATTAATCTCCTCTCCTAGATGTCCTACAGTTCTAGAGAATGGAGGGAAAGGGGGAGAAGAAACTACTTATTGAGCAAATACCAGGAACACATGGGTACATTATGTATGTTATCTTACAACAATCTGTAGGATAGGTATCATTGCTTACATACATCCATATTCTACTCAAGATGAGGATACTGTGGCTCACAAAACTCCAAAAACTTGTCCAAAAAAGATTAGTCTTTTTCCTTTCACTAGACTCTGAGAAGGTACCTTATCTTTTTCTCTCTGGTTATTTCTCAAAGGGCCCGAGACAGCACCTTGTAATAAGTGACACTCAAGCCATCTACTGAAATGCTTTTCCCTAACAATTTTATGGGCACACTAACACCCCAGGCCCTTCTTTGTATAATAATATATTCTTATTTTAATCAAAGTATTACATGAAAATAGCTTTTAAAAAATCAAGACTATAAGGCTTATAAAATTAATAGAAGTTCTTTGGCTTTGTTCCCCAAAGGCAACCACTCTTTAATACTTTTATCTGTTTCTTTTGGTATTTATTTCCATAATTTCAAATAATATGCCTCTACTGCTACTTTGTGAAAATCGATTTATTTATTTTTTGTAGAGATAGGGTCTCGCTGTGTTGCCCAAGCTGGTCTTAAACTCCTGGCGTCTAGCGACCCCCCACCTCAGCCTCTCAAACTGCTGAGATTACAGGCATGAGTCACTGTGCCAGGCCCTGATCATCAATTTTAGACATTATCTATTTGACTTCCTGTTATGGCAGATTAGGGATTTTTTTTTTTTAAGAGATAGGGTTTTGCTTTGTTGCCCAAGCTGGAGTGCAGTGGCCAGGTCATAGCTCACTGTAACCTTGAACTCCTGGGCTCAAGCAATCTTGCTGCCTCAGCCTCCTGTAGCTGGGACTACATATGTGTGAGACCCCACTTTGCTAATTTTTAAATTTTTTGTGGAGGCAGGTCTCACTATGTTGTCCAGCGAGGTCTCAAACTCCTGGCCTCAAGTATCCTCCTACCTTGGCCTCCCAAAGTGCTGGGATTATAGGTGTGAGCCACTGCACCTGGCCAGATGAGGGATTTTTAGCTCTCATATAACCTGTACCTTGCACTCTCTCTATCCTCCCAATATGATACTATCTTAACTTCTAGCCAATACATAGTTGGTATTTTCATTGATTGCTGTTTACTGTATTTCCTTTCTTGAAAAGGGTATGAAGGAGGAATTTTAATTTTAAATTATGAGCATATAGAAAACATCAATACACTGCAGTGATAGGATGGCATACCTTCTAGACTCTGAAAACTGTGAGATACGGTGAACCTCAATTAGCAACAATCTTACCTCTAATTGGGCTAGTTTTTCCTGAATCTTACAAAATTGGTCATCATCCACCTGAACTGCTTTCCTCATCACTTCTCCCATTTCACAGATTCTGTCAATCTGACTCTCAATTTCCTGTGACAATATCAAGGAAACAAAGGTAAAAAAGTCATCTTTTCTATAGATATAAAGAACACATGCATTATGATTTTTAAGAGTTCATTTAATCTATGCTATAGGAGTTACACTGGAGTTTCACTATAATTTCGGTCCTCAGAGGTAAAGCCATAATAAAGTGATCTTGTGGTATTCACAAATAATTTTCATTTTCAAAAGATCAATTGTAGTTTAACTGCCCTTTGGATGTTGGACAATATCTCTAAGTGGCTGTTTAACTTAAATTTGAATACTTTTGTTGGCAGGAAGCTTACCATATTCCAAGGTGCCTTACTCTATCTTTGGACATACCTCTTAGAAAGTATTCCTATATGAGCTGAACTCTGTCTCCTTCAAGGTTCATGTTTTATCTTCCAGATATATAAATAAAT